AAACTTACTGGATTTTGTTAACCAATGTCACCATAATAAAAAAATAATAATAAATTAATTTAAAAATATTTAATTGAAGAATTATTCATGAGTAAAGTCTAATGAGACAGTGAAAAAAATTTAATTCTAAAAATGATTATTAGCTTCTTTGTACCTGTAGAAAAAAATTTTAATGACTTAAATAATACAGTCCAAATATTCTTAATCTTAACATTTTGTTTTCTAGGCATTGTATTTGTTCTGTCATAGTAGTTGTAAAAGTTGTTACAGATTTTCAGGGATTGAGAAACCATGGTCTGTGGATCAACTGCCTGTTTTTATAAATAAAGGTTTATTGGAACATAGCTACACTTATTTATTTATCTATTGTCTATGACTGCTTTTATATTACAACAGCAGAGTTGAGATGTTGCAATTGAGACCACATGGCCCATGAGACTAAAATATTTACTATCTGGCCATTTAAGAAAAAGTTTGCCAACTCCTGGTTTATGTGTTCCTTCCATTTTGGAGTGCTATAACCTTATTATATAGAATGAAATCTTTCTGTGAAGAAGAGTTATGTATTTCTAGATGGCTAGATAGTAGATGTTCGAAAAGTATTTAAAATTATCTGCCATTGATGATTATTACAGGCACTAAAGTCAAGTCAATAAGAACACAAACTGACTTTTATGCAACAAAACCTAAGAAGATAGATTCTAAACCACAACATTCCGTTACTATGCTGCCTCCTGGTGATCAGCAGTATTTGTTCAGCCCAAGCAGAGAAATGCCTACTCTTTCAGGTACACTGGAAGGTCATCTAATTCCTATGGCAATTCTTTTAGGTAAGTTCAAACAAAATATATAGGGTAAATTTAAAATTCTTATTAGCAGTAGCAGAACTTACAGGATGATGCTGACATGATAGTCACCTATTTTTTCCTTTATGTGTTGTTTATTTTTGTGGGTAGAGTCTCAGAATGTGTCTTACTCTGTATAATATCGAACTCTGATATGGGTTTCTGCTATAGTTTTATTCACAAGAAGCATTCTTTTGGTATTTTATAATACACTATTGTAGATCAAATGAAATTTTAAAAATGTTTGGGCATATCATAGACATTCATATAATTAAAGAATTCAAGAATTTTGACCAGTTTAATATCATCATGTCTTAGAAGAAGTCTTTAAAGTACCTTTTATGTACTTTTGAACTAAACTGTGATAAATAAATATTGTGTGGATATGTATTCAGAGCCAATAGTAGTTTTTTACTTATTTGAGGTCCCTCAGACTCATCATTGTAAAAATTGATCAGTCATTTTTGCTTTCACTAGCTCTTCAAATCTAGTTATTTTTTTTTTCTTTTAGTGCCATTGCTATTCTTCCTTTATTTTGATTAATGATTTAAAGATGAATATTTTCAATAGGAGAGAATTTTTTATTTTTGATATTATGGGTTAACGGCATGTCAACTTGGTAGCTAATGTCTGTCTAAACATGCCTTCTACTAATATAATAGCTAATACTTATAAAGTCCTTACTGTGTGCCAGGTGCAAATCTAAGCACTTTACATATGTTAATTTATTTAATCCACCCTATAAAACACATGGTAATATACCAGTTTTATAGATGAAGAAACCGAGACACAGAGGAGTTAAGTAATTCATCAAAGGCTACAGAGTTAGAAGAGTGGAGCTGAGATTCAAATCCAGGCAGTCTGGCTTTATTTAGAGTCTGTGTTTTTAACGATTGCACTACATTGTCCCTCTTTACTTTCAAATATAGGAAACAAGTAGAACTTTTGAAGTGAAAGCTAACAAGTTTTTGACAGCTTTGGTAGTTACCAAATAGTTGGCCTACATCTTCAAATCTAGTTATCAAATATTTGTAGTCATACAAATATTTGTAGTCAAACAGTAGTATTTTGTGGTTGTTTTTATTTCTGTCTATTGTTGCTTTATGGAATTTGAAAATAAAAATAATACAATAAAATGCAGTACACTTTAGTCTTGACTTTGTCACTTACAAACAGTTATGACTTTTGGCAGATGATATGTTTCTAAACCTCTGTTTCCCCAAATGTAAAATGTGGGTAATATTAAAACCTCGTAGGCTTGTTTTGAGGGTTAAATTAAAGGGTTAAATCACATAGATAGCGTATGTGAAGTGTTTAGTACATGTGAGTGCCAAATAAATGTTAGTCATTGCTAAAAGGGTGACATGGTTTAATGGAAATGGTGATGGTAGAGGGAAAAGTGATTGCAGATAGTGTTTTCTTTCGTATGAGAATTCAGCCGTAAAGATCCAAGTTGTGTATTAGATTTTTCTCTTTATTTCTGAAATGGTTGACTCATTTTCTCCCCCAAACTTTTTAGGACAAACTCAAAGTAATAGTGATTCCATGCCACCTGCTGGAGTAATTGTAAACAAGCCGCATCCTGTAACAGTGACTACTTCGATTCCTCCATCATCTCGAAAAACAGGAACTGGAGTAAAGAAACCTAACATAGCAGTTGTAGAAATGAAGTCAGAAAAAAAGGATCCTCCTCAGCTTGCTGTACAGGTATGCCAGAGTACATGAACAGAAATTTTTTAGGAAAAAAATCTTGGACTTCAGTACTTAAAATCTGTTATACTGCTTCATGAAAACTTTGCTTTCATCATGAGTCTTTTGTTCTTTAAAACTGTGATGTTAATGTAACGTCTCTATCTTTGTTTTGCATAGTTTAAGCTACCTTTTCTATGCCAGTGTCTCCAAGTGACTCTATGATATTCCAAAGGGAACAATTAAATAGTATAACTAATTAAAAAAAATAAAGACAATGTGTGTGATTTATGTAATTAATACTTCAATATTTATACAAACTTAGGAAGACTTGAATGGAGAAAGGACTTACATATGAAGATTAAATATTCAAGTAGTCAAGTCTTCCTATGTAAATGTGTAATTTAAGTGAAATCGTAATTTAAAAAAACTATGACTTTTATTTAAACTTGATATTTAAAATCAGTTTGATATTTGAAGGACAAAGAGTTTAGAAAAGTTAAAGTGTTTGGTACTGGTCCTGTATAAAAAAGTATTTCAGAAATAATGTTAATTATTTAAAAAAGAATGTAATGTGTGATAGATAAGTCAGTGGGAAATAGGATTCTTATAAATGAAATAATGTGTGGTATATAATTGGTTAGCAATGGAAAATAGATCAGTTTTAGATTCTAAAACTCCTACTGTATAGCAAATGAGTTCCAAACAGGCAATAGGGTAATGTATAACTACAAACCATAAAAATATAGAAGAATAGAAGATAATTGCATGGAATATTTATCAAAGCTGAAACTAAGTCTGGATATGAGAGAAAAATGGATTTGAATCTGTAAAATCTAAAACTTACATATGTAAAAAAATCCTAAATAAAAAGAAAAACATATAGTGAGAATATATGAAAGGAATATGCTAAAAAAGATTTTTAAAAAAATTTTATTTTATTAGTTTCAAGTATACAGTACATTGGTTACACATTTATATATTTTATAAAACAATCTCCCTGATTGCTTTCTCTCCTCTGGCTCTACCCTAGCCACTACATTAATGCTAACTGCATTAATGCTAACTTAATGCTAATCCCAATGATCATCTAACGCTAATTTGTACTTCTTTACCCCTTCACCTCATTCTCCCAGCCCCCTAACCC